TGGTCCATCCTCATTTAATAAAATCACTATTGCAGATGTGTAGGGGTTGTCTGACAGCTTTGTGTGCATCATTGACATTGGTGTGGGTGTCCTTGGCACTGGACTCTCATGAAGCTTCGGGCTGTGTTTTTTAGTCGACCTTCGGGCCAATGATTTCTGACGGCATTGCTACACTTATCGCTAACGTGCGTGCCCTCCACATTGGTGTCTCATGAAGCTTCAACCCATGTTCAGGCCAGTGGTTTAGGCTAATGATTTTGGGGAACTAACCTTGCGATTCCTACGCTGAGGCAATCATGATGTTCCCAGCTGGATTTCGGGACCTGACTTCCAACTAAAGATTCATTATTACTATGGTTGATGGCAATCCTTCTACTCTATCATCATTGCTACCCCTGACTTTAGGATGGCCGGCCTTGGCTCCGATGATAGGGCGCTAGCATTTGTGGCCTTGACGCTAGCGTCAATAATGTCTGCATAGGGGACCAAAATGTCATTTCAAGTAAACAAAACTTCATGAGCCATAACTTTCAAATGATATATCGTATTCTTGCGATTCTTGGGCCGTTGGAAAGCTTATGACTTTTACTTTGATTTGGGAATTGATTCGAGCCTAAATGGTGGATTTTAGGAGTGTCTACAGAGCTTGGACTCTAGGGTACTGACTTTCAGGGTTTTAGATGATGGGTTGGTTTCTGCAGTAATGGGTGATCCTAAGACCTATGGCTTATGGTGGTGTCAAGGTTTTTTATTCCTTAGCAGGGAAAGGGCGTCTGCACTTATCTTGTGTTGGAATTTTAGATTTGTACAAACACATGGAGGAGTACGTGTCTTGTTACTTGATTAGTATTTCATTTAACATGAGAAATAAAGAAGTTAAATTATGCTTAGTTTTAAGGAAAAAAGGTTTCTTCACAAATATGGACAACTTACTATGTTTTAAGGACATAATCATTCAAACGAAACCTAACACAAATATACTAATATATATTGATATGCATAAAATACAATTGACAAACATTAGATAAAGGAGGTGCTGTCACTAATTATTTAACACTAGTCATTTTGGACCTCTACTTAGTTTCACCCAAGCTTCATCCTTAATCATGGATAGATTAACCTTATTACCTTATGAAGACCACTTTTGCTACGGCTCTCCCTTAACCTAGCCATTGGCCATGGTTCGTTCTTCAACACACAGGGAGTCTGAAATCAAGTTCTCCTCCTATTGTTTGGGATCTCACGGTTTCATATTCTATTTCACTCCTTAAGGATTTTTTCTCTTTTTGCTATTATAGCTCCTTAGATTTCTTCTAGTGCTCACTCTATGCCCTCTATAACTTTTTTTTCTCTTTGTACCTACTCTTTTCATATGTTGTCTCTCTCTACGCACTTCCTATTTTTATAAATGGTTTATTCATAATCCCCAATACAAGCATTTAATAATGATAACTAACCTTTCTAAGTTCCAAGGTACCTCTTAAATTGTTTTTCTCCATCCATGAATGTTCTTTCCATTTTCCAAAATCTCTACAAAACTCTCCAATAAATTATCCTAGAAAATAAAAATAAAAAAAATAAAAAAAATGAAAAAATAAAAAACCCTTATAGTCTTGAGATCTTTGATTGGCATTTCTGCAACACAAGAGTCTATAAATAAGAATGATGAATATGATTGATATTCTCGTTATTTACTAAGTAAAAGGACTATATAGTGTAGCATGAGAACCTAAAGGAAATGGTTTGCTGGCCTCTTTTACTAGAACCGTTTCACCGGGTGAACCATTCCAAAAAGAAAGGGCAAATGATGAATATAGTTGACAAAGAAGCAGTTAAAAAAAAAGAACAGAAAAGAAAAGAAAAACAATTCGCAAAAGAAAAATGGGGAAATGCTTTCAAGCCCTTCGAACCATCGATCTATAATAGCTCTCTCTCTTTGTTTGGAAGTTTTCAAAGCATAATGGGATAATGGGAGAGGGATAAGAAAAGATGGGTGGGTAAGGAATGAAAGAAAGTTGTAGAAAAGACAGGTTTTGTGAGTGGATGAGGGACAAAGATAAGATTGAAGAGAGAGAAAAAGGAAACGATAAAGAGGGGGATGAGGAAGGGAAGGGAAGGGAGGGAGAGTCTGATATAGTTACCTTTGAAAAGATAGTTGTTCTTTATATGGATTTTGTATTTGGAATTTGAAGGGAGATATCTCAAAGTGAGAGATGGATCTCTCTCAAGACTGATCTCTCTAGAGAGAGAGGCTTTCTGATATGGGTATTTTTTTGAAAGAGATAGTAGTTCTTGATAGGGGATGTATATTTGGATTTTGGAATATGTACCGAAGATTGATGGACCTCCGAGATGATATTTCCACATAAAGAGAATTTTTGCTTATGTGGGTATTGTATTTACGGTTGAGAGAGAGACAGAGAGAGGATTAGGGCTACAAGAGAGAGAAGATTAAGGCACCACAAGAGAAAGACAGAGAGGATTAGGGCCCCAAGAGAGAGAAGATTAGGGCACCAAAAAAGAGAGAGGATTAGGGCACAAGAGAGATATAGGGACAGAGAGATGATTAGGGCACCAAGAGAGAGAAAAGTATCGAATAATCCTGAAAAATAGTACAAAACCGAATGAAATTAAAATCAGAGCAAAAACCCAAAAATAAAAAGCCGCTCGCACTCGAGTCGGCGAGTTCCTGAATCCTAGTACCAGTACAACTTTACCCAGAAAACCATAAACAAAAGAAAAAGGAAGAAGAAAAAGTATCTCTCGGAGACCATGGCTCCGTTGAGAAAAATAAGAATCTAAAGTGTACAAGCTCAAGAAAACTAGAGGCAAAAAGCTGTCTAACTCAAGCAAATCTGTTTTCTCTCTCTAGAGGAAATGTTTTCTCGCGCTTAGAGGAAACCCTAGGTTCGCTTGAGCACTGAAGGATGGGCTTTGATAAGAGCGTTCAGTTAAGGTAGTGTCAAATGACAGTGGGCGTGAGGGGTACGGTTACTTGTTAGGGTTTACATAGGAATCTCTCTCGCTTTCTTTCTCATCATAATTAAGGGGAGGAGTCGTCTGAAAAGCTTTTGCTTTTGTGCGTGGCCAAGTCCGAGGCTGAGGCTGAGGCTGAGGCGGAGGGGAGGGGGATGTGACATCCTGGGAAGAGTACCATACGAACAGAGAGAGAGAGAGAGAGAGGTTTTATCAGAAAACTAATGTAGTTTTAGAGAGGGAGAGAGAGGTTTTATCAGAAAACTAATGTAGTTTTAGAGAGGGAGAGAGGCCATTAGAAAACTAAGGGTGTAGAGAGAGAGACTAATGTAGTTTTGAAGAGAGAAAAAGATTAAAAAACTAATGTAAGAGAAAGAGAGGGAAAGAGATCTTAAGGCACTGTTTCCACTTGGATGTGAGGCAAGTCATATGCTACGGATGGAACAGTAGAGAGATGTGTACTTTTGCTTGTGAGAAGAGAGAGAGCAAATAAGCAAACATGGAGATTGGATTGTTTTTTTTTCTCTTCAAAATCAAGATTACCAGTATAAACATGGAGATTTGATTGTTTTTTCTTTAACTTTTTTTTTCCTCTTCAAAATCAAGATTACCCGTATAAACATGGAGATTGGATTGTTTTCTCTTTACTTTTTTTTTCTCTCTCTCTTCGAAATCAAGATTACCCATATAAAGTCCTTCAATCATAAAAAGTTTACATAATGTTGAACTTTTATTAAAATATATTGTAAAAATCCAATAAGAATGAGTATTACGAAGTTGGAAAACCTTCCATTAATCATCTTGATCTTGAGATGCATGAGTATATAGAAAAAATTCAAATCCCAAAATTGTGAATCTTGTAAGAAGTTATTTATATAGTTTCTTTTCAAGATTTTCAATTGTTTGTAGATTTACTCAACTTGCATTATCTTTAGAAATCTAAATTTCATATTTAAGATTGATCATGTACATGATTTACCGGCTATCATAAAGTTTATGACAGCCAACAAAAATTTAGCAGTGTGTTTTAGATAAGATGGGCACCTTCTACAAACCTCAAAAAATTGTGTAATCTTTTGCAATTTACCACTTGTCTTTGTGGATGGTGCATGCAATAGAGAGTACCACTTGGTATTATTTAATAATATTTTTTTTAACTAAGGTATTTATTGAGTCAAAATGATTGTGACATCTTTGTACAAAAGATAAATAATTTTTTATAAAAATCTTATTTAATAATATCAAAAAAAAAAAAAAAAAACGAAACGCACCTAAAGCTAAAGAGAGGGAGAGAGAAGAGAGGGTTATTATGGTTTTCTCCCCTGCAAGAGAGAGAAAAGAGCTGTGTTTCTATTCTCCAGCTATTTTGCTCACTTCCCCATTCTCCTAGAGAGAGAAAGAAACGAAAGAGGGTTTCCCTTCCCCTTTCTCCCAGAGAGAGGAAGTATTCTGCTTATTTTCTCTTTCTAGAGTTTTGTGGGTGTTAGCCCCCTACCTCCTACAGAGAGAGACAGGTCTTAATGAAAGGTTTTAGAGAGAGAAACAAAGAAGTTTCCATCTCTTGGTTTCGTGTTAAGCATGCCATATCAAGGATTTTATTTCACCCAAAACTGACTGCACGCATCATTACTCATCAGAAGTTCAGAAACAAATCACACCCTCTCTCTCTCTAAAGTCACGGAGTTTTAAGGATTCTTTTGCAACAGAGTCATTCAACACACAAAACAACAGCACTCTTGAATTCAGTAATGGAATAGAAAACGAAAAAAAAAGAAAAGGCAACTCGTTTTAACCCAACCGTTTAAATTTCCATCTTATAATAAAAGAAGCAAAAATGGAAGAATAGAAGTTGCAGAATACCATTAACAAAAGAGGCATAGATGGATTCACAAAAACAAGCGCATTCTAAAAGATGACTTAAAATGAATTGACAAAAACTCCTTCAAAGGTAGAGAGAGAGAAGATGCAGTGATAGAGTAGTGAGAGAGGCAGAATGCATTCATAAGGTAGAGAGAGAAACTTACTTGTTGTTCGCATACTCGTAGACACGGCCGCGGCTTGAGAAAACAATGAGGGCTACTTCCGCATCGCACAGCACAGAGAGCTCATAAGCTTTCTTGAGCAAACCGTTCCTCCTCTTGCAAAACGTCACCTGCCTATTCGTCGTGTTCTCGATCCTCTTTATCTCTATCTTACCCCTCCCCATCTCACTACTTTCTCTCTCTACCTTTCTTCTCACTCTAGATCTGCCATTACCATAAACTAAAATTAAGCTCCAATTCACACCAGTTCAAAGAGAAGAAAGAGGAAAACGGTGACTGACGTTATGCTAATTAAAGAAATTTTACAGTCTGATGAAATAAACAAAACCGAGTTGCAAAAATGGCATGATTTCATTGAAAGAAGTGCAACACTGAGTTTTACAGAAGCTTTAATGGCGTGTGAATTAGAGCTTAATACTAATTAGGAAATATGGGAACAAAAATGTCGAATAATTTCGAGGAGGATAACAGTTTCAAAGTAAACAAATAAACAGGAGTTTTATTGATCTGCCGAAGAAAGTAAAAAAAAAGAAGTCATTTACCTAAGAAAAATAAGTAATTTAGAAGAAAAAGTTGCAGGAAAACACTACTTTTTTCTTTTCAATGAACGGAAAATGAAAGAAATTTTTTTTATCAACTTCTGCAGAATCGAAGAAGAAAAGTTTTTAGAATCTTCACCAATAAAAATGAAGAGATAGGAAAAAATGGCAGAAATTTAACTTCATTGAGTAGCGGATTAAAGATTCATACTAATCGAAAAATTTATATTACAGTAAAAAAATTCAGAAAAATCATATCAAAAGATGATTATAAATTAGAAATTCTTAACGTGTATTTCAGAAAAAGTAAGATTTCATGTATGAAAAAAGCTGAACTGTTTCCACAAAAAGTTTGATTAACAGAAGCATTAATGATAATTCAGATTAAGAGAAGAGAAAAAACATTAAAAGAGGGAACATACAAAGATTCAATGAGATTAAGCAGAAGAAATAGATGACGAAGAAATCAAAATAACATTTACAACAAAAATACTGAACAGTGTTCACTAAAAACCTCACTAATAGATGAATCAAATTCTTTTTAGTTTGATCATCAAATAGAAAAAACACCGAATTAGTACTAAAAATTGAAGTGGTTGTTGAAAAAAAGAAGGTAAATACAGAAGAAAAAATGAAAAATAAATTAAAAAAAATCATAAGTTTGTGCAAACAAAAGTATCAGAAAAAGTTAACTTCAATCACAAAAGAATCTGGTTTTCCTTCCACAAGCTGTTTAAGAGATCGCTCAAATAACCAGAAGTGTCCAGTAAAACAAAGGATGTGAAAAAAAATGGCATAATTTCAGAGAAATACAGCATCTGGAAAGGAATCCAATGTCCTTTACATAATCAACATTAAACAGATGAAATTTAAAATCACTGCAAACTTAAGCGTTGAAAAAAAAAAAAGCACAAAGGCAACAAAACAAATCTAAATTTCATAAGATATATGGAGATTTTTTCAGAGACCTCCATCTAACAATGAATTTTCAATTGCTGAAACCCTAAACATTAGGATCATCAAGAATTGAAGTGATAATACCTGTAAGAAGAAGATCAATGGTCTAGAGAGAGGTTTCTAGATGATTATGGTGGTCAATTTTGCACTGGAAAGACCAGTTTTCTTGAGAGAGAAACTTTGAAGGAGAATGGCTTTGGGCGAGTTAGTTTTTTCGAGGCTTCCAGCAAATATTTTCAGCAGTCTGAGATTTTTTTCAGGTGAAATGTGGTTCAAAAACTTTTGGTCAGCTCTGTGATTAAGAGAGAGAAGAGGAACGCGGAGAGAGGCAGAAGCCACTCTAAGAAAGGAATTCATACATAGGATTTAGAGAGAGAAAGAGCAAAGAGAGTAGAGAGAGAGAGTTGAAGAGGCCCAGTTCATGGCCCCTCCTTTTTATAAAATATTGTTGTTGCCCCAACCTTAGGGGTAGTACCGGGACGAGTCCAGCGGGACTCGGACCCGAACCCCGACCCCGACCCCGACCCAAACCAAAACTAGAACCCCAATCCAGGTTTTGGTCTCGGATCCGATCTTTTGGGTACAAAATTTGGACCCATATACATGAGGATAGATCCAATGTCACCCTATGACTATCAGCTTTTTTTTATTTTTTTTTTTTCTTTTTTTTTATTTTTTTATTTTTTATTTTTTTTTATTTTTTTTACCATCATATACCCATATTATTGGTGACATTTATAGTATTTCACAACATTATGAATACCTAAATTCCTTACTATTTTACGTAATAACGGAAAATTCCTAAGAAACAAATGTATTGGCAACATTATGAATACCCACATTATTTGGATTGGGTCCGGGTCGAGTCTAGTTAGATCGAGACTCGAATAGTATTCAAGTCATGTTGCAGACCTAGACCCAACATTTCGGCTCCAAAATTTGAACTCATACCCGGACCTGAGATTGGGTCTACCCAAATGGTCCCGGGTTTGGTCAGGTCCATTGCAACCCCTAGTTAAAACCACTCGTAAAGTATACTACAAGGTACTTCCCAGAGGAGCACACTATACAACTCCTCTCTTTGGTGAAAGAGCTGCTTATTTAATTTCTTTTTCAAGATCTTAAATTATGGGATCTACCTAAGAATTACCAGATAAGTATTTTTAAATAATTAAATTCTAAGTTCTTGACACTGAGGACTTCCAAATTTTGGACCGTATATTTCAATATTGGATTAATTTTTTCTAGGCACGTAGAGTATTAGTTGCTAGGTTGAAGAGGTTACCTCTTCAACTTAAAGATCCTAAAAATACACTTAGTTTAGGATGTACATGCGAGAGTCGAGATACAATGTATACTTGTTTGGGAGGATGTAATCTTTTTGCTAACCTTCATAACCATACAAATATTAGATCATTACTGCAATTCCATGGAAAAAGAGCTAATTAAGCGGATTTTTTTTTACATGAAATTTGTCGGGATACTTTGTAATCGAGCTTTTTCTGCATGAAATTTTGGGGAACACCTTAGAATCTCTGTTGGAGTATTTTAAAAAGGTTTTTATTTCTAAACACATATATCTAATCATCAAAATATTGAGTGTTTTAGTTTAATCATAGTTATTTAGTTTCAATACATATGAGTAATGCGGGATTTTATTATCGAAAAAGTTTATATAGAGCCAAAGCTCTAAGCATTCAAATTAGAGCTCACCTCAAAAATTTCACTAGAATAGTTTGTTTTGATGCTCAAATATCCTCAAATTGATCATATTGACATCAAGATGCATGGACATGAGAAAAAAATAAATTTCAAGTATTGAAAATAGTACATCTTATAACGCATTTTTTGACTGTCAATTTTCAATATTTTCAAGTTTTCATATATCTATTTGATCTACACTATTTTTTAAGCTTAACATTTTATAATTAAAGATGAAAATATATTTTAAGTCTATTACAAACATTTCTCGACACTATTTGAAAATGCGCTCTACTTTAATTGTTTAGAGCGGTTATATACAAACCACACCTTATTATTATTATTGTTAATCACCATCTTCATTATCATTACTATCATTACTATAGCTACGGAGAAGGTTGGTCGTTGGGTTTAATAGGTTACATCCCCTAAATTTAAGATATAAAAAATAGTGTTAAATGGGGTTTTAAATAAGGGAGTGAATAGGACATGCTGTGGAGCATATAATCAGTTGGAATTATCTTTAGGCTTCTTACCCTCCATTAACCCATATTGTCCCTAATCCTGGCTCCTACCCTCTTTCTATAATCGTTCTTTTCTATGTGAACAGTAATGAGCATAAGGAACGTGCTTCCGATAGTCCTAAGGATTATAGCTATTTTCTTTTGTAGAGGTTATGGTGATTGCCTACTATAAATTGTTGAAATAAGGAAGTCGTAATCACTTCTAGCCATTGGATGTCAATTCCAATGGCTTGGGGTCTGTCACAAAGTTTTCGAAACCTTATTTTCGACTTTGGTCAATGGCACACTAGCAGCCGCCTAATTTTACATCAAACAACATAGAGCGAGTATGACCTTCCTGTGCCAAAAATAAATAGTGTTATTAAATACTTTTCTAAATATGTTAGATATGTAGGGAAATAGCCCCTCCATTGTCATTGATAAAAATTAGGTAGACATATAACTCTGCTTGTAAAATTTTATCGAGGTTACTCTCAAGCCACTAAGAAATTACGGTGCCGATTAACTTTAACAGCTTGGATATCTCCCCTATAGTTCATCTCCACTGTCCATCTTGAGATGGCAAGGTGAATTTCGGGTCATAGGATTATGTAGGACATGCGTATAAGATGATGATTCCCTTTTACTCAAAGATAATGCTTGAATTATACATCTATTATTGCTAATGAGTTGGCCGACTGGGCTGGCTATTTCGGGCTGAAAATCCTTGGGTTCGCCCGAGTCTCTAGGTTTTCTGAGGTTCTTATTACTTTCTTGTTCAATATAGTTCAATCTGATTGTGAAATCGCCAAATCAGACTGTGAGACTCAGAATCCAACCTGTGGTGATTCAGAGCCCGATTTACGCTGATTTAAAGTGTTATTTGAGCCGACTAATCCTTTTTCCCAATGTCATTAAAATCCGACTAGCCACTGAATTGGTGAGAGGTCCGGTTAACTAAAAAGCAAATCAACCTCATGTTCAATAGGATTTTCAAAAACTAAAAAAATGGGAACAATAGTTCAAGAGCATAAAATATATTCTAAAACATGATAATTTTTGTGTAACCGGTTCAACCACTAAAAAGTAGCCAGTGTGACTAATCAAACATCAATTTTAATTGATTTTTTTTATCAAAAACTGATTTTTGATTTGGACCAAAACAACCAAAGCACCAAACGTTAATTTTTGCTTTTGGCAAGGGGTATCACCATGCTTTTTGCATTCTCTCCTTCGAAATACAGGGCCAGCAAAGAAAATACCACTATTATGCCTGGTTAATGGTTATACAAATTAGGGTAAATACATGGAAATTTATTTGCTCAGTGCTCGAGAAATTTGCATGGCTCATGAAATGATGAAAGATACAGGAAACTCCTATTGATCCGTCGTGCATATCCCAGAAAGTTGGCATCCGAATCAACCTTATATGAGATAGAATGAGATAGAGAGAGAGACTAGAAAAGAAAAGAGGTAGAAAGTAGTTCCTCTGGTAATTAGTAACGTCTCTCACTCTAGTTCAGAGAGTTTTACCAAACGGTTGATAGCGCCAGGAACGGTTGGCATTCCTGGGGTGGTTAAAACCGGACGATGCCGATCTGGATTAGATTTGATGTGTGGTGTGATCAAGGTCCCACCACCAATATTTTAATTTTTTTTTATTTTTTAACTTGTTTTTTACCAGCTCTGCCTATCTAGATCACCGATCAGGCTGATGTGCACGTGCATAGTGGGTGTACTTTTCAAAAGCTTATTCAGGATTTCAAATACTATTCATCAGCATCTCTTAGTTAAAATATTGAGTGAATTATGCACAGTCGCAAAATATTAAAATACAAAATGAGTCAATTTTTAAGTTAAAATTATGCGGAAGGTCGGTCAACTTGAAGCGTTTTAATTTTTTCTTTTTAAGTTTTTTCGACAGTAGGGTTGTGCCCTATTGTTTGGAGCAATGCCTAGTCTGTCCGGTATTAGCATCATCGGACCGCCTTCTATGGTGCACTCTTCAAAGCGGCCTGAGATTGGGGACAACAAAGACTGACTTTGTTAAGCATTCAGAGGCAGTTGAAGCTACCCATTCTCAGACCGCCTTCTCTGGTGCTCTTCACGGCGGTCCAAGGTTAGGCCACATTAGCTCATTTATCTGCTAAGAAATAAGGCATCCTCGGACTGCCTTCTAGGGCATTGTCCTACTAACAAAAAAACCAAAAAAAATAAAAATAAAAGTGGTCTGAGTATGACATCTTCGGACCGAATAACAATTTAAAAAAAAATAAAAAAATTACGGGTTGACTAACCTTCAACTAATTTTATCCCAAACTTGACCCATTGCATATTTTCCTATGTGCGCATACTAAATTACACTAAAATATTTCACGATTGTCCATTATTTTCTCGCATGTTTTGCCAAACTAAGGATACTTTTGTTAATCAAGCAAAAATGAAGGTGTAGTTGCGTAGTTATAGAAGTGGGATTCAAATCGAGCATACTGTGGTTACTCCATTAATCTTGAGGACCTTCCTTGACCATTTGTCTCTCTTTTTTTTATGCATTTCCTTTTGCTCTTTTTCTCTCTCCCTCTCTCTATTTTGACCTTGACCTCGACCTCGACCTCGACCTCGACCTCGAAGAGAAGGGGGAGAGAGAGTGACGGGTAGAGAGTTGAGGGTGACGGGCATGTGAGGCGCTGCCCACCATTGAATGGTTATCGTATCGGCCCCAAACTTTTGGAAACTGTAGAGAGGGATGTCTGTCGTTTTCCATAGACTTCTTTTTGGAACTTTTGCTCGTTCCGCTCCATTGTTTTGAGCATCTCTCTCTTCACATGTATTTTTCTCTCTTGTTTTTTTCTTTCTTTCTTTTCCCTTTTTTTTTTTTTTTTTTCAAGTAGCAATAAGGTCACAATCACTCTCCAGCAGATTTTAAAGCTGTATAATTTGTTCGTTTAATGACTAAAATGATTATCAGTTTTTATTATATAAGATTCTTAATACATCCAAACAAATAGGTTTTAAAGTAAATTATTTTATCTCTAATGATTTACAGGTATGGGTCGGGTATAGGTCAAGTCCAGCTGCACTTGGACCAGGATTCGAATAGTGTTCAGGTCCAGGTTTTGAACCTAGACCAGGACATGACTCGCAAGGTCTAAATGCTAGATCCATACCCGGACCTGTGTTGGGTATACCTGATAAGTCTCGG